GAAAGAGTTTTGTGAAACTTGCTGCAAGTTCCTTTCTTTTCCCCGTACTGAAATGTCATAACATCATTGGCATTAGTTTGCTATGTTTGATTGTGTTTTGCATCTTGGTCTTCTCCATTTGGCTCCGTGTAGGTTTACATGAGATATGAGATCAAGAGATCGGGGGTTGCTTGCGAGGCAAGTAAGTGCGATGTCTACGTAGGGATCAGGTGGTTGAAAGCCACCAAGTTTCAGCAGAGAATCACTCGGAATGTGTTGGAGAAATTCAGGATTCGATTGAAGGAAATGTTTGATTTGTTGCAGAAACAGGTTTTGACATCATCATCATCATCACAAAATGTTTTAGAGAAATAGCATCCCTGTAGAAATTAGTAGCAGCGTCTCTCTCTCGTAAATGTTTTTGCAAGGCTTCAAAGGAACAAAGAAGAAATGCATTTTATTCCCAATTTTTTTTTTTTTATATAGTGTTTTGATATTTCAATTTTCTTATCTTTTAATATTCCTTTTCGGTAAATATTTGATTTTTTTTAGTGCTTTAAGCGATAAATATAACTATGGAAATTCAGCCTTTCTTTTTGCCATTGTTGGTATCATCTTTTTGTTCGGTGTAGCCCTTGTTTTGGCTAGAGATGACCATTTCATGTTTCGCTATGGGTTCGATTAGATTATATTCGGATTTCATTATTTCAATTTAGAAAAATTATAATCGTTCGGTTATATATTGAGTTCGCATTGGTTTGATTTTATATCCATTTGTTTTTTAATGATAAAAGTACTTATTTTCAATGAAATTTTCGGTTGACTCGGTTATATTTTAATTAGGATGATTGAGTCACTCTCTGTTTTATGTCTTCTTCCTCTTCCTTATAACCCCTATGTGTTCTTGTTCTTGTTGTGTTTTTTTTTTATGGATTATGATAAAATGGTTATATATATATATATATATATATGTGTGTGTGTGTAAATTGTTAGACTTTAGTTTTGTGTCCGGAACTACTAAAAAAATAGGTAGGACTTAGTCGCTTTTCATTTTTCATTGTTATTTTTATTTATTTGATTTTCGTATTTGTCGTTTATATAAAAGGTTATGAAGAAATAGAAAAAAAATATAAGTAAAGAGAAATGGAGAAAACGTGAAAAGGGAAGGGGGGGAAATAGAAACTAAGAAAGCAGATGCACAATAACAATGTTGGATTATAATATTATATATATACACACATATTATATATAGATTATTTATTTATTTTTTCAGAAAAGGGAAAAAATATAAAACGAAAAGGAATCTAGCTTAAAAGTAAAAACCAAAAAAAGAAATAACTTATAAAAGATAAAATAAAAACGAAAAAAAAAAAACATTTGATGCAAACATTGTCAGCCTAGTCCATTTTTTAATCAGCCGTTTGTTTTAGTCATATTCATTACTTCTATGAGCGGGGTCCAACCTTAATTGAAGTAAAAATATTATTATGAAATTAATTTGAATTTTTTTTTATATACTTCAGTCATTTCAGTAGATTCATGTATTTTTTTCCATAAATTTCTTTCTGAATTAATTTTGTTTTCACCATGAATAATTCCTTTTTTATTTTTTTTTATTTTACTTTTCCCCATATCTCGTGTGTATGAAAGCACAATTTAGAAAATCTTTTTATATTATTGAAAAAGATATAAAAAAAAAATGGATTACTATATAAAATTAAAGCTGTGTCAGATTTTATTCCATATAAAGATCTTTGAATGCTAATAACCATATAATATATGTAAATACTTGTGAATTTGACGCATTTCATCACGACTACCATAAGATGTACCGATTTGTTTTATCAATAATTTGAGTTTTGCTAAAAGTGGCCAACAAGAAAAATTCCAAACTCATTACCAAAAAAAAAAATTCTAAACTGAAAAAAAAATGCTCACTTTTGGTGATGCAATATTGGATGACGAATCGTTAGAATTGCATACTAATCAAATTTTAAAAAAACATATATAATTAATTTCCATGTGTCACATTGTATGTATAATCGCAAGGCCATTTTATACCAAACCTATGATTCTTGGGTCATGGCAATGTTAGATGTTACATATCCTAATAGCCAAGTGTCAGTCATCTGCTTCAGCCTCTGGGGTTGTCTGAGCAGTTGCGCGAGGAGAGAGAGAGAGAGAGAGAGAGAGAGAGGGAACAGAGCAACTGTTCGTCGATTTCTCCAAGTTCCAAATTCGTAAACTTTTTGCGTTTCTCGGCGTCTTCGCCGGTGAAATCTTCAACATTTATGGACGTTGATCTATTACCCTCAAGAATCCTATCGACCAAGCACTTTCTCTCTCTCTCCCGAACTTCTTATCGTAATCCTTCAGGTCTCTCCCTCTCCCTCTCTCTCTCTCTCTCTCTCTCTCTCTCTCTCTCTCTCTCGCACACACACACGCGCGCTTAGTGTAGAAAGAAAACGAAATTTCCTTTTTTCCCCTCACCCCAAATGGAAATTGGCTTCTGGGTCTTTGACGGTATCTGGTTTCCGATGAAATACAATGGGAAAGGTTGAAGCTTTACTGTCAATATTAAATTATTAATTACTTGGCATTCTGGTTTTGTTGCTTGAGCAATAAATTTTAGTCCATAATGAGTAAATTGGATTCCTTTCTGGCTCAAGCGATATATATGGAATGGTATTATGGTTTTGCATATTGAGAGAATGAAAGGGCTAATTTTTTACTTCTGGGTTGACAGAAAGATTCAATATAAATTCGGACATTGTGAATGCATTGTGATAGCGAATAATAATGGGTCTTTAGGTTTCACATAAAATTCTTGGGCAATAGGAGAGACCGGTGAAGGGTCTCACTATGCCAAACCAGCCTGATGATGATTCTGATGGGATCATCTCTAGTTTGATCGAGGAATTGAATTTGAGGTTGAGGTTTGGGGAAGTCGAAGAAAATGTCATTCTCTCACCTGATTCTCATGTTCTTGGGTATAATGGAGTGGGAAATGGGAGCGATGGAGGTAGTGTGGTGATACATAGCTCTGATGAAGAGGAAGGTGATGATGGTCCTAAAGAGTTGGGGGGAAATGATAGTTATGTGAGTCATTCTGAGGATGATATATATTTCAGTGACAGCGCAGAAGTCGGTAGCTATATGAATGGTGATGTTTTTGGAGAAGAGCATTATGAAACTGGTTCATATGAAGGTGATAGGGGTTTGGAATATTTGGGAGGAGGTGATCATATGATACACTCTGGGGGTGCTGTGTATTTTTCTGATTCTGAAGAAAGTGGTGATTCTATGGGTAGGGATGATTATAGGGAAGAATTTCATGGAAGTGATTCAAGCGAAGGTGAGAGATGGGTCGAGACTTTTCTCCTGCTGA